CCTTCCTTCCTTCCTTCCTTCCTTCCTTCCCTCCCAAGAAAGCCAGAAGCTACTTAATAATTTTTATGTTATTAAACATGCTCTATTTTAAATGTCTTTTTTTCTGTTTTAGGCTTTTCACCTTTTTTCCCGTAATATCTTTGTTTTCAGAGCCTTCCTGCATCAGTTAGCAATTGCTGCATTATAAAGAACCCATACAATAGTGGGTTAAGACAACTATTTATCTCACAACTCTGTGGGCTGGCAATTTGGGCTGGGCTCAGCTGAGCCATTAGTTCTGTTGTTGTGAGTCAGCCTTGGCTAATCTCCTATGGGGCTCACTCAGTCCCTGCTGCTGGCTGCTGGGTTGGCTAGGAACTGGCAAATAAAAAGTGTTTTGGTTCTTCTCTATGTGGTCTCTCACCCATCAGCAGGCTCTCCTCATGCATGTTCATGAGGTGGCAGGATTTCAAGCACAAAAGCAGACACATGCATACAAAAGCTCCTTCAGAAACCACCCACTATTGATTCTCCTGCATTGTTTTGACAAAAGAGGTCACAAGGCCAGCCCATATTCAAGATAGGGAGAAATAAACTCCACCTCTTGTTTGGAAAAGCTAAAAAGAACGGTTGTCATATTTTTAATCTATAACACTTGCTAAAGTCGTCATGAATTCTAATATTAAATCTCTTGTACTTTTGTACAGGGTGTCCCCAAAACATATATACACACTTTAACAGCTGAAGGCTCAATTGATGTTTCTTTCTTTTCAGCCAGACTAACCTTTGAACAAAGGAGATTCATCCTAAAATGCTACTGGAAGTTTGAAAATGCAGTTGAAGTACAAACACTGCCTTTATAATTATTCAAAGTATGTATACATTTTGGGGGGAGCACCCCCAACATGTATACACAGTTTAAAAGCTGACAACTCAATTTTCACTGTTTCAGGTTTAACTGACTTAAATAATGGGTGAAGCCAGACTAAGCTTTGAACAAAGAAAATTTATCCACTAGACTATTTTATGGGGATACATAAACGATAAAGCTTATGGTACAAAACCAGCTATAGTTGACGAATTGAGGGCCCACAAATACCAAACAAAATGATTGTTGATGTTTGCAATTCCATTGCTTCACAGTACCAGCAGGGCCTGGACCAGAACAGTCATTGATTTGAAAACAGGCATTGACACACACAAAAAATTATTCATTTCTGTAGATTATTTTAAATTTTGAAAATGAACTATATGTTAATAAACACTGACTTTATAATCATTCAAAATGTGTATACTTTTTTTGGACACTCTATATATTAATAGTCTCATCCACTGAAAATAATAATAGTTTTTTTCCTTTCCAATTTTTACATTGCCATTTCCTTTTATTGCCTGATTGCACTTAATAGACCATCCTGTACAATTTCAAATGAAAGCAGTCTATGTCATCATGAGAACCGTATAGGAAGAACTCAATGTCTACAACAGAGCTCTGTGGCTGTAACCACCCCTCCTCTTGATTTTCTTTTTCTTTCTATAGTTTCCTTCTGCATCTTTGTCCGGGGGCAGTGTGTGCAAGTAGCTCACCATGTCTGCATGTTCTGGATTGCAATCCTTTGTGTTTCCCGAATAAATAATTTTCAGTGATGGAATACCTAATTATTTCTGTTTTCCAGTTGACACTGGGTTGTATCATCATTCCATATTTGGCTCTTTAGTTCTCTTCTAATATTTTTTTAAAAAATGTTTTAAAATTGATTTTAAAAATATATTTTATTGATTTTTTACAGAGAGGAAGGGAGAGGGATAGAGAGTTAGAAACATCGATGAGAGAGAAACATCAATCAGCTGCCTCCTGCACACCCCGCACTGGGGATATGCCTACAACCAAGGTACATGCCCTTGACCAGAATCGAACCTGGGACCCTTTAGTCCCTAGGCTGACGCTCTATCCACTGAGCCAAACCGGTCAGGGCATAAAATTGATTTTAGAGAGAGAGGAAGGGAGAGGGCTAGAGAGATAGAAAAATCAATGAGAGAGAAACAGAGATTGGCTGCCTCCTGCACATCCCCTACTGGGGATTGAGCCTGCAACCTGGCATGTGCCCTGAGGGGGAATCAAACCAGGAACCCCTTGTTTCATGGGTCAATGCTCAATCACTGAGCCACACTGGACAGGCTCTAATACTTTTGTAACCAATACATTCTTTCAGACTTCAGTGCCATTTTTCAGATCAGTCCTTAATCAATATGTCTCTGCACTAATATTTACATAAGACACCCTACACTAAAACTTGTGTATATATAAATTTTGCCCCAAAATTGCTCAGTAATTATTGTTGAATGAGTGAATATATGTGTGTCAGTGTTATTTGAAAACTGGGGATAGGGAATAGTTTAATGGTTCAAAGTTAAACTTACAAAACCCTATTAAAATTTACTGTAACTATATGCTGATGGTGTAATTTTAGTAAGAAGAATTAGAAGTGGTGCTAATAAGTTTGAATGGAACTATAGGATTAAAATGGTAACAGTCAGAAATTCAGAAATGAAGGCTGTCTAGAGGCAGTGATTGCAGTCAATGTTAAAACAAGTAGCTTTTTCACTTGGGCCAACAATAAGAAATATATTTTACATTGAGAATGAGCATGAACATATATGCATGAGATGCCTGCTGCATTTTTTATTCATTTTCTTCTTTCATATCCCATCCAACGTGATACATACAATTTGAAAAACATGGATCTAGGCATATTATAGGAACCACGGTAGTCTGTGAAAATTTATCTAAAGGATTAAGGCATAACTAATCCTTTGTTCACTCTGTCTTCCTCTACAGAGGCTATCTCTGGTTTATGTTCTGGTAATGCCAGCCTAATTTTCCTCTTGAAAATTATCCCTCTCCTTTTCTTAGTCCATAGGATGCAAGTCAATTTCCTGCCCATGTTCCGTGTTCCCCAGCACCCTCCAGTCCTACCAGCTCTGGGGAAGGCTTGTCATTTGGTATCTCTCTGACTACAGGAATGTCTCAGTAATCTGCACATAAGCTAAGAAAGACCAATGAGCTCTGTTGCCAAAAACAGGCTCTTGTTTTGCCAGTTTGGAGGTTGGAGAGAATCCGGCTGTAGCTCCTGGAAGCATCATATGAAGAAAGCTGCCTAGGAGGGAAGCCAACAAGAGGACAGAGATGGAGGACTGATGACATCACTTGTGACCTTAGATCCAATCACCTTTTTCAGGGAACCAGTAAATGTGTCTTTTGAAATTCTAATGTAAGAAAAAAGCTACCCATCAAATGATATTTAGTATGGGAATGACTTTAGATTTTATTAAACATGTACATTTTCAGAGCTCTTCTGTGTCCTAAATTTATGAATAAATAAAGCATAGATGGAAATCATTGACATCATCACTTGTATCTTAAATGGTATTATAAATATCTAAGACTATTGTTATATTGAAAAAATAGGCTTGTTGGACATTTCAGTGTCAATAGCGAATCTCAATCTTTTTTCAGAGCCTACACATTTTTAGTTTTGCTGCTCTGCGAGCCCTACTTCATGTATAGGGAAAAGACATTTGAAAAACACTTATTATTCACATTAGGATTTTCACTGAAAAATACAATTAAAGGAACTAAACCTCCCCCCAATTTAATATTTATTTTTTCTCTACCAGCATGTAGAGATATCATATAACATTATCGATTTATTTAAAGCTATTTATAGAAGATAAATTTTAATGTATAATAACTTTTTAAAATATAAATCACATTTTTTAGTTCTACTCAGTTGTAAATGTCTGCATAGTTTATTAATTTGAAAAAAATTAAAAATCAAAGTACAAAGTATACTGAAGGCTGCCAATACAAAGAATTATCTATGAATGAAAAGCTTAAGCTACAGCTTTAAACATTACAGTGGAAAAATACATACAAAAGTGACACACCACATATAGTACCCATGTTATTCACTGATTGGTCACTGCCATAATGTACAAATAAGGTTGTGCTAATTATACAATTTATCTCTATTAGACAGTCACTGATGTTCATTTCTTGGTTTTTGAAATACAGTATGTGAAGATCTAGACAACAGTTACTCATATTCAAATTTCCTTTGAAAAGTGAAGGCAACTTGTTCTCTATGGCAGAATTAAAACAGAGCAAGATATGGCAACACTCCAGGATCTCTAGGAAATATTTATTAATCTCAGGTGGATAAATTCTGTTCCAAGCTGGGAGCTCTGGAGTTAGCAGACACAGTGATTCACTCATACAACATTTACATTTTGTATTTTGTATAAGTTGTAAGAGGAAAGGATTGAGTTAGAAATCTTGTGCTTTCACTATTATTAGCTTTAATTATTGCTTGTGAATAGGGTTACCCAAAGCAGGTGCACTTAATGATCCCATCTTAAAAGACCTGACAGGGAAAACAGAAATACACCACAGCTATTTTTACCTCTTGTGATTATGGCTCTGAGCATACAAAAACATTTACAGTGGAAGCTGCAACAAATTGGCTTCTTCTGCATCGCTATACATAGAACACTAAGTAACTTCTGGAGATGAGAGGGGGGAAAAAAGTTTCATTAAAAGGAAGGCACTTTTGAAATTAGTAAAAATAAATGAGAAGTAATCTGAAAAAAAATTACATCTGTATTTGTTTTTTTAATAAGTGTATCTTAAATATAACATTTTAGGAGCACTATCTTTTCTGCTGTAGCTATTACAAATTTCATTCCTGAGATTTTTGGACTCAATTAAAGTTTTTAAAGTAAGCAAAGAGGGAAAAACCGCTTTTCCCAGATGGGAAACTGAACTGTGAATCAACAACTCAGCCAGTTACACTCTGTCATTTTTCATGCATCAGCTTTTCATTTAGGATTGTATGCACACTGTAATTTATTCCTTAACTGCCGCCAAATATGCCACAACTTTAAAAGCTGACATATTCAGCTGAAAGCTGGTATATAAATAAAAGTTATTGTTACTAAATATTTGCCATTGTCAGTAGCTTCCCTCGTTTAAAATGCTAATATTGAAACAAAATGAGGCAAGTTTTTTACATATGGTTTGATTTAAATAACAATTCAAGTATCCCCTTTAAAATGATGTTCTGAAAAACAATATTTATGAACCACAAATTTAAATACATTTTTTGAAAAGCAGAATATTCCTTGAATATCCTTTGCTTTAATCATTACCTAGGCCATAAGGATCAAAATCTAGCTTTGGTTCCCATCATATTTTTGACAATCCCCAATTTTTTTTCTATATATTTAACTAATCATTTAGAAAAAAAATTAACATGAAATGCATGAAGGGAAGTGTCATACAATAACATTTCACTTTGAAAGTTATATTCAAATGAAGATATGGTCTGAATATAAGTCACTTGTGCTTATTTTCAGTTATGGCTGATATAGAAGATGTTCACTGAGTTTTTACAGGAAGCGGAGTTGCATCATAGTCTTGAAAATGAACTCCCTTAGAATATGTGATCTTCATAATAGCGCCATTTAAAGCATCATCTTCAATGAGTGTTATTAATCCATCGGCGATCGTTGATGGGCTAAAAGGGAAAGGAAACACTGGTGTTTTAAACTAAAGATGAAGGCATAATTTTCACTTCAGTTTTTAGTTACTTTTGAAGAATTTACTACTTTTAACATGTAAAAGGAAAATGTTTATCAGGAAGCTGATAAACATTTTTTATTTTTTATTCAATTAGATATTAACTAAGTTATATGATAAATTAACTAGTAGATTTCCAATCCTAATCTGCTATCATTTTGACAGGAAGGATTTATGAATTTATATTTATTATTTACATTGACAAAATTATTATTTTCTCATCTTTATTCTACCAGTACATGTTAGACTTATCAGACAGAAATGTTATTAGAGTAAAAATAGAAAGAATTATAGCTAACATTAATTGCATGTCTGTTATTGAATCTGTTGCTGTTTTAAGTACTTTACATGGATCAACTTATTTGTGGACTTTCAAAAGTCCCCTAAGTTTGTTTTAATATTATCCCCATTTTACATGTGAGAAAACTGAGTTTGATGGAGAAGTTCATGGTCAGAAGTGGAGTCGGGATCTGATCTCAGATGGTCTGATTCCATCAGCATTATAGCAATGACTTTGTACTGTGAAATCTGACTGCTCTAATTCAGACATTGTTCACCAAACACATATTGATCCATTGTTTAGTATAAAAATGATTGCAGTTAGGGGCCATATGAAATTTCACAAAGGGTATAAGTAAATATGGCTTGGAATTTAGGCCAATAAGGAATCACTGCTTCCAAAGATAACTAAACATCACCTTTTTACACTATATTTGATTGTGGCTGAAGGTATTAATAATGCATTGTCTATATCTTAATGCAAAATTCATAATGTAGAAACACAGTCTATTCAGAAACCCAGAAAAGATATTTTCTTTCACAGAGTATGCCAAAGCCAAACTTTGAAGTTTGCATTCGTTTCTCAACTTTAAAACTTTATTCCCCCTCCCCCTTTTTATTGCTTATATGTAGATAGTGCTTTGCTCCATCAAATAAAAAAGATAGGTATAGCTTTACTCACTCCAAAATCCCATAGTATTTCATCATATCTTTGATGTGGTATGCATATTCCATAAATTGTCCCATGTTTTCTTCTTTTTCAATGGTTTCAAGGATGGGCGTATTGACAAAGCCTGGGCAAATGGCATTGATTCTCACACCACTGTTCATAAGATTAGCAGCCATCTGCCAATTGGAAGAGGAAAGTTTCAGGTTTCAGTAGTCTTGCAAATGCACAGCATAGGACAGACTGATAATTAAAGCTATTCAAAGGCTCTGATATGAAAAATACTAGTCAGATATCCTTGTGGCTTTATAACAACGACAATATTAAAGTTGGTTCATAGCAGAAAGTAAAAGAATATGTATCTAAAGTGTTTAATTAATTCCGGAAAGCCTCACCTAATTAAATTTTTTAAATGAATATTACTGGAAAACTCTTGAAAATACTTAATTATCTAAACTGCTCTTATCTAGTGAACACTGCCAGAATCTGAAGGTAAGAAGCTGAGGCTTAAACTTAATATCCCAAGTTTTCTTTCAAAGATTAGGGCTGAATAACAGAATAGTTGCTTAAATAATACTGTTAGTGGAAAGTGTTAAGACTTTGATTCATTCTAAAGATACTCTTCATTATCTAGAAGACAAATTTAAGTATTTTCAGACTATCTTTGGCTTAATTTTCACCCGACTGATGTATTGGAACTAGCTGTAAAACAAAATGTAGTTGATTATTTGGGGATTCCATTTGCTTACTTGGCAAAATTAATCTGTAACCCCCCAATTCCCTGGGGCTTTCAGGGTCATTTGTGGACAAGCCACAGAGCAGGGAGAAACTTGAATTGCCCAATGCCAATATTCCAACTGAGGCTCAACAGAATAATACTCTGTTTTCTTGTTTTAGTTCTTCTAACTGTAAACAGGTCTCCTTTTCACAGTGCATTTAGTCCATGTTTTTCTTATTGTTGTGCTTTTTGTTTGTGATTTTGCTATTTAAAATGCCCCTTCGCCCAAGCACAGTGCTGAATCGATGTCTAGTGTTCCCAAGCAGGCCTTACCGAGAAAATACGTGTGTTAAATAAGCTTCACTCAAGCGTGAGGTATAAGTGCTGTTGGCCATGAGTTCAACATCAATACAATACATATGAAATAAGGTATCTTTAAACAGAAATTCACATAAAACTTTACAGAGAAATTAACATATGTATTAATTGACCAAAATGTTGTGACCAGAGGCTCCAAGGAAATGCTAATTCAGTGATTAAAAGTGATTTTATAGACCATAACTATCAGAAATAAGAGTTGACTGTATAAGTTCCCAGTCTTGCAATTGTAAATATGAGATTTCTGGTCTTTGAGGTTTATTTTGATTTTTAATACCTTTATGTGTTCATTCAAAATTTGAGTTAAAGATTAAGCCTTTGGAAATTAAATTTCCAGTGAATTTAAATTAAGATTGTGAGAGCTTCTTATCTTTTCTGATTGAACATTTACTGGTCACACATCTGTTTTCTTTATCCTAGTATTTTTTCTGTTGTTAATATTTTTCTCTTCATCTGTCTGGACTCTATTTCTCATCTAGACTAACCACTGCGGAGACTTCCCAATTTCCTCATCTCTTCTACATGTGTCCTCTCAACATATTTTCTAACTAGCAGCCAGAACGGTCTTGTTGAAATGGAAATCTGCTCTTGTCACTCCTGTGTGTAAAAAATACATTGATGGCTTCACTTTCAATAAAATCTAAGCTCATTACTACAACCCATAAGACCCTCTTGGTCTGGCTCTTGCTTACATCTTTAGTCATTTCTCATCCTACTTTCCCTTGCTCATCTAGCTTCATCCAAGCTACCTTTTTTTCCAGTTATTATGAAAGGAAAGCATTCCCATTTTGCATTGTCTTTTTTTAAAAATTTATTTCAGAGAGGAAGGGAGAGGGAGAGAGAGATAGAAACATCAATGATGAGAGAGAATCATTGATTGGCTACCTCCTGCATGCCCCAAACTGGAGATTGAGCCCGCAACCCAGGCATATGCCCTGACTGGGAATCAAACCGTGACCTCCTGGCTCATAGGTCAATGCTCAACCACTGAGCCATGCCGGCTGGGTCCCTTTTACATTATCAACGCATGTGATCAGTTAGGTCTAAAAAATTTTTTTAAAGCTGTGTACACTTTACACGCTAGGGCTCCATGGAGACATCATCCTTCACTACTCTACCCAGTGAATTCCTGCCCCACCCCTTCTGCCCGTCCCTATGCTCTCACTCAGTGACAGGTAATGGCTGAAGCATACTGCAAATTCTCTTTAAGGAAAGCTGAAGTTAATACTTTTTAGATTTGGAGTCAATTTTAAAATTAAAAACTATCTTCCCATTATGTAGTCTTAGAATATTTTTCAATAACACATCTACGTTCAGAATCTACTTCATTTTAAAATGATCATTCTTACCCTAACTCAGTGGTTCTCAACCTTCTGGCCCTTTAAATACAGTTCCTCATGTTGTGACCCAACCATAAAATTATTTTCATTGCTACTTCATAACTGTAATGTTGCTACTGTTATGAATCGTAATGTAAATATCTGATATGCAGGATGGTCTTAGGCGACCCCTGTAAAGGGGTAGTTTCAGGTTGAGAACCACTGCAAATGGTTTGGCTCAGTGGATGGAGCGCCGCCCTGCAGACTGAAAGGTTCCAGGTTCAACTCTGGCCAGGGGCACATGCCCAGGTTGTGGCTGTATCCCCAGTAGGGGGTGTGCAGGAGGCGGCTAATCAATGATTCTCTCTCATCATTGATGTTTCTATCTCTCTCTCCCTCTCCCTTCCTCTCTGAAATCAATAAAAATATTTTAAAAAAATGATCTATTCTTCATTTGGTCCTTTATGTGATCTAAAACTATTTTTTTATAATAAAGACTGATCTATAATATTCTTACTTTACTCAGATGCACTGAATCCTGAACTTATTCCCCTCGACTGTATAGAACTCATGCTACACACATGTACAGAGAGAAAAAGAGATATTGTGCTTGTTACATCCTCACCGCTGCTGAGCGCGTGAATCCAACTATGCCATGCTTTGAAGCGCAATAAACAGGCTGTTGTGCAACTGGCATGAGTCCTAAAACGAACAACAAATTTAAACAATTTTATTAAACAATAAGCAGATGAAACCCAATCATAGCTATGCAAAGGAATAATTTGTGCCTGTTCATTTTAAAATTAATCTAGAAAATACACTGAAATTAAGCAGATGAAACCCAATCATAGCTATGCAAAGGAATGATTTGTGCCTGTTCATTTTAAAATTAATCTAGAAAATCACCAGACAGCTTTGTAGAACTCACTAGTCTTATGGTCACTCCTTCCATGATCTCTATCTACTGCACTGCCCAGAACGCACAGTTGGTAAGTTATAGCTGAAGGATGCAATCAAAAGCGATATATAACTTTTTTTGTTTCCCTGACTTTCTGTCAAGAGAAGTCAATGTTATCTAAAACTTATAGAGAATAATCTTTAAATCCAGTAAATTACCATCTCATTTTCAGTCTTTAAGTCTGGATTTTTAAAAGTACATAGTCTACATTTTTAAAGGTTTCCAAATGGCTGAAGAGGCTTAAATTGCTTAAATGGAATTTGGAGAATCTATGGTTTTAATTCATTTCCTTTCATAATCATGTACAGAATTCAAACAATATTAGAATTTGTTTAACTTTCCACATGTAGGCAATAGGAACTAATCAAAAACATAATTAAATTCATGGTCTGGAGAAAAAGCAGTACTCTAGCATGTATAGCATCTTTTCTCCCCTACCTCCTACTCCAATTCTCCCCTCCCCTCCAATAAAACAGCAAGAAAAACTCATTTTACTATAGTAACTATTACTATCAAGCCTATCTCTCATAATTGTCAATTCTCCATCTAATCAACAGTAAGGCTTTTAACTACAGCTGTCTGTATATTTCAATTTTTTATCTAATTTCTTGAAGTAACTCATTTTCACATTTTTCAAATTCATGATTTCTGAGTCAAGAAACAGTGATCCCTGATTACTCTAATGATATTACTACCAAAAGTCATGCTAATAACGCTCCATTATTCTGCTGAGGCGTGCTCATCTCCACCCAGCTAACTAGTCCCAGAGCACCACCAATCAGTTGAGCATGTTGTGCCAAAGTTCAGCAATAAATGCAGACCTTAACCACTCCCTGGGTGCCTGCCAAGAGCAATTTAAATCCCGAGAATGATAATTCACACACTGTGCGTCCGCCCAGTGACCTCAAAGTACTGGAACAGGTAGTTCCCTTCTTGTTTTGTTTTGCTTGTAGGTTAAGTAAATGTGTAAGTTACTTTACGTTCAGCAATATCAGTCGACAAGAAGTCACGATGCCTGCCCAGTGTACACAGGTGTATTAGGAGTTGAGATGGAGGCAATAAATAGTTGCACCAGGCATTGCCGCTCCTTGTTCCTTGAAGTGGGTTGCTGTTTTACCCTCTCCTTAAGTGTTTCTCAGACAGAGGCAGTGTGGTTGTGGGTTGGTGTTCACGGACTGCAGGAAATGCAGAGTGAACCTGCATCAGCGATAAGCTAGTCGACACGGCCACAAAAAGCACAGGGATGCTGTTCATAAATGTTGTCAAAGTAGAATTTGGAATGAATTTCTGTTACGTAAGTGGAGCTACTGAACTTCTGAACCCAAGCTAGTTCAAAGAGTCACAAACGTACAATATATCAAATACTGTTATGTTGTTTCTGTTTAAGAAGCAAGCAAGCACAAGGCATATTCTTTCCTTTAAAGGTAGAACGGAGCGTGCAACCAGAAAGAGAAGGAATTTGCATTTTTAAAATGCCACCTGGTTTTATGAATCTTGTTGTAACATTTCGATGACATTTTCACTGCTATCCTGCAAAAACATTTACTCTTGCATTGTTTCCCTTTTTGATATTAGACAGATCAAAAGCTGCATAAATTAATTTCAGATGTGCAGAAATTGTGCATCCTTTTCTCTTTATATTTTTTGCAGCTTTATTAAGGTATAATTGACATACAATATAAGTTTTGACGTATGTGGACACCCATGAAACCACAACCACAATCAAGATAATAGACATACATATCCATTTTCTAAGTTTCCTGTTGTCCCTTTGTCATCTCTTCCTCCCGCCTTTCCCCTCCCTCTAGGCCACCACCGATCTGCTGCTTTGTGCCACAATAGATTCGTTTGCTTTTTCTGGAAGTTTACATAAATGTAATCATATAGTGAAACTCTTTTTTGTCTGACTTCTTTCACTCAGGATAATAATTTTGAGATTCATCCATGTGGTAGTGTGTATCAATAGCTCATTTTTCTTTTCTGAATAGTATTTCACTGTAAAGTTAAACTTATTAATTGTATATACATTCACCTGCTGATGGATATGTGGGATCTTTCAAGTTTGGGGATATTATAAATAATAAAAATAATTCTATTTTTCAATTATTTTATTTAGGCAAGTTACAATTAATTTAGTTAAATAGAGAGCTTTCCTTTATCTCCACAATACAAGTAGATGTTAACTGTTGCTTCTTATATGTCCAATAGGTAGGATGGGTTAGTGATCTGCAACGTTTTCCCCCTACCTTCCAAATGACTTTCTTTCCCATCCCCCAATAATATAAACTTTTTCTTGGCCTCCTACTCCCCCAAGGGGTGCCCCACATCTGCTGCCTTAACACCTCAGAACTTTGGTGTCCTTGAACTCAGACACCACTTTGCCACCCACAATTCTGTGGGTGCTGGTCTTTTGGATGGCCCTGTATAGAGTTGCTGTTGTCCAGGGCATCACCAAGATCAAAGTCCTCCTCTTCTTTCAGCAGGCGCTGGTCGGTGGTGCTCTCGGCTTCCAGCTTGACCTTGTTTAGCAGGGCTTCATACTCCTGGGCCTGGTGCTGCCCCTCTGCCCCTGGCTGGGCCAGGTCTGACTCCAGCTGCAGCAGGATCCCAGTGAGCTGTCCATCTGCATGGCATAGCCCGTCTCCACCTCCCTCAGGCTGTTCTCCAAGCTGGTTTTCAGATTTCTTATTGAGTCCAAGTCGACCTCCAAGGACTGGACCATATGTCTCAGCTCCTTGACTATCATCTCAGCAGCTCCTATGTCAGTGGTCTGTGAGGTGACCACTGTGGTGCTTGCCTCAATCAGCTGGGGCCAGCACTTGTCTGGATCCTCTTGGTTCTTCTGAGCCAGCTCTTCATACTGGGCCCAGATATCTGCCATGATCTTGCTAAGGTCCTGAGCTTTAGGGGCATCCAACTCCATGGTCAACCCAGGTTGTCAATCTGGTTTTGTAGACCATTTACTTCCTCCTCATGGTTCTTCTTCATGAAGAGTAGCTGCTCCTTGAGAGCCTCGATCTCTGTCTCCAGCTGCAGCCGAGTGATATTGACGTCGTCAATCACACTGCCTTTGAAGCCCATTGATGTCACTCTCCATAGACCAGTGCATGGCCAACTCCATCTCATACTTGAGTCTGAAGTCATCAGCAGCAAGATGGGCATTGTCAATATGTAGAGTGATGTGGGCCTTGTCCACTGAACTTGCAAAGATCTGAGCCCTCGGGTCCTCGATGGTCTTAAAATAATGCCCCCAGGCTCTGACTTGGGGTCCCTTCTTTTCCAGGTGTTCCCAGATTTTGCTCTCTAGTCTCTGATTATCAGCCTTCAGACTCCTCACCCTCTCCAGGTGGGAGACCGGGCACTCATTCAGGCATTTTGCATAGTGTCCTTCTCACTCTGGATGACCCCTATACCTTCCAGATCCCTGACATCCCTGAAGCCAAGCCCCCAGGCCCCAACCCGCCCCACATGCTGGTGGAGTGGGACACAGAAATCCGGGAGCCTGAGACCCCAGCACCTGCATAGACTGGACAGGCTGCTGGCCTGCTGGGCCCGATGGCTTGGCACTAACTGCACAGAGCTCAGGGTCCAGTAGTTTGTGGAGAAGCTGGAGCAGGTGCTGAAGCTCATGTTGTTCAGGGAGGAAGGTGAGAGGTTCAAGCAGCTCAACTGACTTTCAATTGAGAGATTTACTGTCTACCTCAGTCTCCTGCTTTGAAAAGGTATATGAAACGGAGGAAGAAAAACTCTTTTTCAAGCCAGATCAACCGTATCAAAAATTTTAGTTAGGTGAAAAATTTCCAGAAATAAAACATTTTTCTATTGGTTCTTAAGACATTTTTTTTTCTTTATAAGCATAGCATTATTGCTATTGTGGTTTAGTTTCAGTATTGGTTAACCATACTTCTATTACTTACCTTAAACCCACACACCAAAATATAACGTTTCTATGTGCTTCAAACAAAATGTGTTCTGATGCTGGTAATAAGGGTCAACATGGAGAATTGTGCTGTGTGCCAAGTGTGCATGGTATGGATTCTGGGGACACTATTCATGTGGTAGTTTGCATAAATAGCACCCCCTAATGTGTGTGGTTTACAATCTACACAACTATACACAGCAGTCCTCTATGGTAGAGGAAAGTGACTAAGCAAAAGAGACTGAGAAAATGTGAAGGGATTAAGAAAAAAAAACAAACCACCTCACAGACCCAGACAATAGTATGGTGATTACCAGAAGGAAAAGAGAGATGGGGGGAGGTAGAAGAGAGTAAAGGGGGGTAAACAGTAACAGAAGGAGACTTGACTTTGGGTGGTGAACACACAATTCAATATACATATGATGTATTATAGAAGTGTACATTTTGAAACCTATATAATTTTATTAACCAATGTCACCCCAATAAACTTTACCAGAATGTTACTTCTTATAATATTTAGTCATTTAAAAATGTCCTCTTAATCGAGTTTATCAAGAGGGATTATAGCACAGTGGTTTTGGACTTCGGGTGTCAGACTGGCTGAGTTCAAATCCTGAATCCACCATAATGAGCAATGTTAGCTTTGGAGGGGTAACTGCTGTGTACCACTGTGTTTTTCTTCTGTGAACTAGAGTAGGAATAGTAATTACTGTTGAGTCTTGCTTGAGATAATTTACATAAAATACTGTAATGAGGGCCTGGCAAATAATAAGCATTACTATTTGCTATTCTTTTTTATAAAAATATAAATTAAAGTTCAACATT